CAAGTCCCAGAGAGCCCTGGGGAAGGAGGCCCACACTGACCGAGAGGAGGGGTCAAGCTGTTTTCCAAGGTATCTGAAGGCAAGGAATAATGGATGGAAAACGATCAAGAGGAGATTCAACCTGGAAATAAGGAGGAATTTTCTGACAGTGAGAAAAATCAAACAATGAACAGAAGTTGCCTTCAGAAGTTGTGGGAGCTTCATCACTTGAGACTTTCAAGAAGAGACTGGAGTGCCATTTGTCAGAAATGGTGAAGGGTCTCCTGCTTGAGCAGGGGGTTGGACCAGGTGACCCATAAGGTCCCTTCCAACTCTGTTAATCTGTCTCTGTACCTGCACAAAGATTTGGCATCCAAGGTGCTTCAGGTTCATAACCCTCCAACCTCCATCTTCCAGAGAAGGACTCCTGTCTGCTAGTATAACTGAGAGTGTAAGATACGGATTGACACAATTGCTCTGCCTTCAGGTAATTGTTTGGCTTGCAACACCCAGGATCTCCTTCCTTGTGCCTGTATTTTCAGTTGATTCACTGCTGATGGTTGGTCCATGTGGGTTTTGTTACCTTCTGCCCTTCCCTTCCCAAACTTTTCTCCTACACAGACACACACAGAGATAGACAAACCCTCCTTGTTATTGTTCAGTTAAACAAAGGATGCACAGGGAACTTTTCCTCCTCCCCCATATTTAAGAGGGTCGCCTGCTTGCAAGGACGTGAGCCCGATGTAGCCCCATCCCTTTGTGAGTATTGGATGGCTTTCTGGTTGCCATGGAGAGAGGAAAGGCATAGTAATACACAGCGGGTAACAGTTTCAGCATCACAAAGCTGGCTGGGTTCATTTGGGTACTTGGGGGAAGGTGCCATCTGTTAAATGGGTGTTCGGTTTGTCTCAGAGCTGGCATGCGGACCCAGGAAGGCAATTGAGAGAATGTCTCTGGATTTACTACGTGGCGTTGCTGGAAATAAGTGGGTGGCTCCTCCCTGAGCATCTTTCCCCCTCTTGGATTCTGCAAAAGAGAATCCAAGGGATTCTGCAAAGCATCTTCGGCCTTGTTAGCAGAGCTCCTGAAGGTGTTTCTCCTCCTCTTTGTGTTCACATGGGGGTTTCAAGCCAGCTTTTAATTGCTGGCGACTCCATGAACAACACTTGTTGGTCAACCTTCTGTGATGTGGCTGCCGTGGGCTTCTTCCTGGGCCTGAGAGAGAGAGAGAGTGAAGTGGCCCAAAATCCCCCTGCAGGCTTCATGTTTAGGGCTGGATTAGAACTCGTGGTCACTCGTGATCTGCTCTACGAACCCTGTTTTGTTTTTAAAAAAAATCAAAATGCATTAGGGATTGTTTCTCTTTCCGTAAATCAAATTAAATCATTGTAAAGTGTGAACCGACCAAGGAAATGCAGGCAAAATCGAAGGCTGCGTTGTCATGTCATCTTTGCCGGTGTTATGTTTGCGAAATCGAAGAGGGAGAACAAGCTCTGTGGGTTAGAATGAGCCCTCCTTTTCCCCTGGGTCCTATTAAGGGAACTGATTTGATGTGAGCCAAGTGGGGCTCCGTAGCCCTTCCGGAAGAACCACTCCGTCTGTATTTCCTGCGCTAGCGAACGCGAGGCAGATCCTGAGCTGCTCTACTGGATTAAGAGTGGAAGACATAAAACAGGCCTACAAGGGCCCGAAAGGTGGGTTTTAGGGGCTGCAGAATGTAACATGAAAATAGGATCTGTCCGTCCATCCATCCACCCACCCCTCCATCCATCCATCCATCCATCCATCCATCCATCNTGGCAGCCAGCGAAGCGCTCTGGGCAGCCGCTGCCTTCGGGCTGAATTGGGGGCTCGATCCCCCTCGCCTCCCCTCCCTGCCCGCTGCGACTCCTCTCGGGCTCCCCGGAGGAAGAGGAGGCTCCGGAGCCCCACTTAGTCCCGCTGCTTGTCTGCCCGCTCCCCCCTCTATCCCCCACAAAAACACCCCCCCCCCTGGGTTGATGGTGGGATGGAGCTGGAGCCGGGCTCATCCCTCGTTTCTGCTCCTTTCCCTGCTTTCCCCACTTCACTGAGAAAAACCCCTTTTCCCCAGAAAAATAAAGAAATCCCGGGGAGATGAGATCGCGGGAAGAAAACTCCCGTGGGGGCTTTTGATGAAGAAGTGTCATTGGTAACCCTTCAGCCTGGAAGGCTCAAACTCCCAGCCAAGGAGCCACTTCAGCCCTTCCTTAAATAGCCTTTTATAGCTTTAATTTGGTTATTTAATATAGTCATCCTCATCACCTGAAGGCCTCCAGGTTTCATCGTGCAAGGGGTGAGGGAGAAGGGGAAATGGCAAACGGGCTTCTTCCAAACCACTTGGGATTCTCCCTTAGCAGCCATCTAGCAATCCTGAAAAGCATGTTGAGTGGTTTTTAAAACAGGCCCTGTTGGTTTTGCAGATTTTTATTTAAGCAGTTGGGAGAAAATTGGAAATAGGTGAAAAATTCTTTTTCGGGGAGTGAGAGGGAAAACCTAAAAGTGACTCATAGTATCTCCCCTTGTGTGGATCCCTTGTGGTTTGTACAGTCCCAACTCCCCTTAAAGGAGTAATTATCCCGTTTCCTTTCCTTAAACAATATTCCATTTCTCAATAATACACCGCAAAGGACCATTTCACTTATTGCTGACAAAATAGGCTGAGCTGAATTTCTGCCCACAAAAGAGAAACTTTTCCATAACTGTTCAATTCTGCTTGTCTATTACAATTGCAGCAGATTTTCTATATATCTTATACATCACAGTCAGATATCTTGGCTTCACATGACTGAAACTCTTCTGCTTTCTCTATATTCCAAAATTGTCTTCCTCAATCCTATCCGTGCAAATATCTCTTGATTTTGTTTAATCTGTTACGTAACCATATTCCTGTAGGAAAACAACTGTGTAGAAACCTAAACAAAAGTTAATAAGCGGAACTATTCATGTCACGAGAAGTCAAATGATTGAAAATAGTCCTTGGAATGAATGCTTTTCAGTAAATGAGAGGAAAACAAAAATTTTCTGATTACATTTTGGTTTTTTTAGAGAATTGCTACTTAAACTTTTCATGAATGTTCGCAAAAATTAGCATAGGTACTAATGTTCAGGTACGCCACAAATCATTTCTAGCTTATTAGAAAAAAACAAGCTAACTTTTATGGGTGTCTAATTTTACTGCTGGTGTCTTTTTCTTAGGGATCTTAATGGAAATAATATCACAAGGATTACAAAAACGGATTTTGCTGGTCTTAGACATCTTCGTGTTCTGTAAGTTATTCTTGAATTTTATTACTGAACTTCAGTCCTATGCAAAATAGTTTTTTTTAATGAATAGGATTCTTTTTTTAAAAAAATAATTAACGTTTCAAATAACAGCAGCTATATTGTAAAAAAGAAAAGAAAAAAGCAGTTGTAAGAGGACTTAAAACTTTGGAAGACTGCCATAATAGAAGTCTGGATTATAACCACTTGTGATTTCATATTACTGCTTGTAGTTATAAATATTGCAAAATATGTAAAATTTCCAAATTGAACGTGCTTTAGCAATCCACATGGGACAGAATATTTTGCAAAGCTAACCAATCAGAAAGTAATTTTTTTTAACGTGTTGAGCATTTGGGATAACTTAATTAAGTAAATAAATTTAACATGATGAAATTCAGCAAAGAGTAGACATGGATTATTTTCTGGTTCAAATTAAATTTGTAACTAGTTATTGACTTCTTGAAAAGCTCCTGCTTTAGGTGATAGATTTGGTTGTGTGGTGGGAGGTTGTGTCTGTGTTGGGATTGTGCCTGTGTATTTGATCTGCTGTGAAGAGTAATTCCCACTAGTCACAGAAAATCGTTCTACACTAAGGTTTAACTGTAACTAATTTGTCCAATTTTAATCTATTCTTCTGTGAATGAAAAGTTTCAAACTTTGGAGAGACATTGTTTCTACGACTCTTCCTGTTGTTAAAAAAAAACCCCATGTTTTGTGTTTTTACAATGTACTTTCATTAAAGAGGAGCTTCATAGATTTGGCTCGGTACATATTTCTGCATTTTGTCGTTAAACAGTACCTGTTTTCTTTTTGTAGTTGAGTATATTTTGTATATTTTCCTCACCTCTGACCCCTGAATTTCTTAAACAGGCTTAAGCTCTCCCTCTCCCTCTCTCTCTCTCTCAAGAATGGAGAATTTGGTTCTGTCTAAGTGACACTGCGATATCATGTGACAGGCTTAACACATTAAATTGGATGGAAAGTTAAGAATAGAGTGAGAATTGCAGAGTTAATAAGGAGAGGAGACTGTAAGAGTATCCACTGCCAAGTATTGTAATAATTGGTGTTAATCACTGTTTGATCGCTGGAGTTTCAAAGCATTTTATTCTGCATTTCAGTCAACTCATGGAAAACAAGATCACTACAATTGAGAGAGGAGCATTTCAAGACTTAAAAGAGTTGGAGAGACTGTAAGTTTGTTTTTTAAAAAAAAAATAATTTTAAATATAGAAAGCAAGTTGATGTTGCTTCCTTCCTTCCCCTTTTTTGCTTCTCTGGTCAATCCACATGGATTATTTATTGAGGAAAGCAGGGCAGTAAAATGTTTGCTTGCCAGCAAGTATGGCTGTAAATGTGAATTCCATTCTTTGAAAGAAAAACATATATATTTGTAAGAGACACTCGGCGGTTTGACTTGCAAACAATCAAAAGGCACGAAAACAATTTTCCTGCAGAAATTACTTTGGTTAAATGCCGTACTCTATATGTTGATATACCCCGTTGATTTGTTTATTCGGGTCAGAAGCCTCCCAATTAAAATAAGGTATACATATGTGTTGTTGCCTGCATGTCACCACAATTGCAGAAGGCAGAAGCCACTGGGCAGCCCCATTTGTTCAGAGTGTCTCTGGATTTTGGGGTCCCCATGCAGAGTCTATTCAACAATGCCCATACTCCCCAGCTTTCGCCAGACCCAGGTGCCAGCTCCCCCATTGGTTCCACAAAGTGTTGGTTCTTTGTAGGTTTCCATATCCCTTGTCTTAAACGAAGTAAACAGTTGGAGGAGTTGAGGGGTCCGTGATGCTCTCTGAGCTTGCTCCTTTTCTTGCAGACGTCTCATTACCCAAACTAGGTAACATCATCAGTGCTAGTGAATGGATGATGGATAAGATTAAGAACTGACGGTGGATAAACATAGGACTAGCACTGATGGGCCCTTCATGTCAACCCTGAGCTACAAATATGTTCCTTCATTAATTGAAGAATTGGAAGTAAGAACTTGTGAAGTGGTGTGATAAATTCAACTATTGTGTGAAAGGGGGGAAAAAGACCGAGAAGGGATCAATTTTAAGTAAATAATATTTGCGCTGAATTGGATATCAACAAAACAGGAAGGTGTTTAGTTTGAGTAATTAGTTGGTGGTAAAAGACAAGAGAGATTTATCCTGCTCCTTTAAGTGTTTTACTTGCACATCCTTTAGCTAACCTCCCTGAAAGTTGCACTTTGGTTGTGTAGATATTGATTTTGGTGGCACTTAAGCTTTAGGATTTAAGTTGGGAAAGCATTTCCATATGTGTCCATAGCTGTGTGCTTCGCTTACATTCCCACCTTTTTAAAACAACACTTTATTAGTTGTGCAAACATTATTTTGTCTTTGTTCTTGTTTTTTTTTTAAAAAAATTACTGTATATGGATGCAGTTTTTTCCTCTGTTCCGCTTTTCTCGTGTTAGAAGGGCCTTTTAGGGGTTATTACTCAAAAGACAGAGTGCATTAGGCCACCCTTGGAGGAAGAGTTTAAATAGTGATGAACAGGTTGATTTTTGTCTTTAGTTGCAAAGAAAGAATATTTTCTGTTGAGACTAATCCTTTGAGATTTGTCATCTGCCTTTATAAGCGTGGATAAAAGTAAAGCTGAGATATTAATTTCTCTTTGTAATTGGAGATCCTTCTTATAGGTTTCCTCTTCTAGAACGATCCTAGACAGACGGACAGACATGTAACCTTTGAGTCAAGCTTGAATCCTGTCTAACGAATGTCTGCAATTTTCTTTGCAAGATCTCAGAAGTGGCTTTCCATTGCCTGCTTCCTAGGGCTGAGAGAGGGGGGCTGGCCCAAAGTCACAAAATGTTGCTTAGAAAGGGACTAAAACTCATGGTTTCTCAATTCCTAGCTTAATGCCTTAACCACTCTACCAAATTTGCTCTCAAGGAAATTATCTTTTATTTGTTTCTAAAAATGTAACATCCCCACCGTAGCAGTTGATACAGGAGATGCCTAGTTGAGCACTGAGGGGGGGGACCACAGGTGAATTTTACAACTTATAGGTCGCGTAGCTCCATTTTGAACACTAAAAAAAAAATAACTTTTTTAATTTGTTGGTTGGCACCCATACAAAACATTTTCTTGGGTATGTTATGAAATAAATCCTTTCATACTCTTACAAGATTTTGATCTCATAATGCCAAGTAACAAATTAAAATTGCACGTCATGAAATGTGTTCCAAAATATTGTTCTAAGATATTTAATATTATTTTTTTTTACCCTTTTTGGATATAGTCATGGATGTCTGTTGTAAAATGGGCTAAGACTGAATTGTTTCAGAAGGGAAAAATAATTTGGAGTGGAAGTTCATGCAGGCCAAAATTCTTGGAACTGGCAAGCAGCAAGTTAAGAATAAAATGTGACTTTTTTATTTTGACAATTTCCATGTTGGTCTGATAGAAGCCGCTGATAATAGATTCTCCTTTTTAAGGTATGATTTCCAAGGGTTGTAAGAAGCTTTCTGGTCGTTAGTATAAGTTAGAATCATTCAAGGTGTTTTGTCAACCAACTGTACAACTGAAGATATTTTTTGATCTGTTCAGTTGATTAATACTGAATACAAAGTATCTGGCTAAGATGTTTTGCAGTTTTGATAATGGATTTTCTATTCATTTCAGGGAAGGAGGTTTTATGATAAGGTTTGGTTTCTGGCAGGTTGGCCTGTATTGCTGTTTTCACATTATGTTTTCCTTAAGCATTAAAAGAAAGTCTACTATTGTAACAACATAACAAAATGGCCAATTCCATCTTTTAGGTCAATCAATATGGTAACTGCTGGAATTTTATACTACTTGGGCAGGGAAGGGACTCACACGTCGAAATGCTCTGATGGACAGACGTAAATATTGCGTGGAGAACCTGAAAGAAAAGGTTATCTTGAGAGCAAAAAATTGATTGTCCCATAAATATGCCCAACTATTGTTAGATTCCTGGCTAAATTAAGATAACAAAAATGCTCACTTCATTCATTTCAGAGACCCATGAAATGAGGAGGAGTGAACATTTTTGTTACCTTAATGTAGCCAGGAATCTAACAAAGGTTGGGCATCTCTGATTTCCCCTTTTTCAATAAGCGTTCCATGTGGAAAAACATTGTGCTTAGGAGTCGCTACAGTAGTTGAACTTGTGAAGGCTGGTTGTGCACAAAGTGTGACTATGGTTATTAGCTTGGTTGATTATGGTTTTAATGGAACTTGGATGAATTCAAGCCCAGCAGCTCTTCCCACCGAAATGAGATCAGTCTTGTCATTCTTTCTCATCTTTAGACATCTCATCTTCTTAGAGAGTTGAGTAACAGGATAGTTTAATAACATCAATGCAGAATTGGAACAGAAGGTTATCAGAACCTGCTGGATTTCACCCCTGGCTAAATGTGTCTTTTTGAAGAAAACAATAAGATTATATGAACAATTAACATTCTGGCAATAATAGGAGCTGCCTGGAAGGAAAGCACGTTAAGAGTTCCCTTCTTACTCAGAGGTTGAGAACGTAGCTTTCCCAAGGAAAAGGCAGCTTTGGTTATCCTCTTAGTTCAGTGTTGAGTGTTGAGTTTAAACACTCAAATAGCCACAAAGTCCTAACCGGAAGCCCACCCCCATTCAATTCTGGAGCCGGCCGGAAGTCCGGTTCCCCCACCATAGAGTCTCCTCCTAGCACAGCATCCTTTTTCCTCTGCTGACCAGAAGTCCGGTTCCCCCACCATAGAGTCTCCTCCTAGCACAGCGTCCCTTTTTCCACTACCTGTCCTAACCAAANATAAAAGCTTCCTATATATTAATTGCTCTTGCTTAAAATAACAAAGGGAGGCCTTGTTTGTAACAGCCTGGCTCTCTCTTTAATTTTAAGGGAGAAAAGCTTGAATGTGATTTTAATAACGTTCCAAGAAACAAAAACTTAACAAAAACAAGAACAAAATACGATTCCTTTTGTAGATGCTTTATCGGCTTTTTTCCTCTCGTATGTTCCAGGGATTCTTTTGCAGGCTGTCCACATGTAGTTTAGACATGAACAAGATGTACTTTTTCCAAGGGTTGAGATGTTCAGTGAGGAGAGAGATGCTTGTTGCTTGTTGCACTTCTTATGCATTAACTTTGGCTTCAGACGGTGCTCAAAACGCTGCGAGTTCCATATCTTTATATTCAAGTCACAGCAAAGTTTTGTGCTGGTGCTCAAATAGTGACTGGCTGAAACTTTGACATCTTTGCAGCTTCGCAGTTCCTCCTCCGGGCTGTTGGCAGGAAAGATCCATATAAATCCTGGCTGAAACACATGCGGATTTTGAGCCTTGCCTCCCAATAGTTATCCGAATCGTTGCAGCTGCTTCTGAGAGACACCTGCAGCCTTCCCTTCTGACTAAGCTTATTGTAGGGCTTTCCTAATTAAAAATAATAATAATTAAGTTGCAAAAGCCCCACATTTATTAATACAGCATTAAAGTGCTGGCAATTGGTCATCTGCAGCCTGAGTTTGCTAGCTTCAGTGTTACTTTCACAATGGCAAACAATGATTAAAAAAAGCTATACATTTATAATAGTCAATAGGTTTTAGTTAAAATACTCTTATTAGTAACTTATGCTAACCAATATATTAATGAACTGGGTACAATAGGAACAGCAGTTGGCATGAGACTTTTTAAACTTTTTTGCTGGAGAAAATGAGAAGGCAGCGAAAGGAGGAGTTGGTAAGAATATAGGAAAGAAAAGGACCGAGATAGAAATCTTTGGATTTAGTTTTGGTCAGGATTGGTGTGTGGTTTTT